CCTCAAGACACAGTGAAAGAGAAAAGCAGATGAAGAATCTCTCACCTACTCCAGGGAAAGAGAGTGAATTTAAAGAAACACCCAGTCCCAGGAGGAATCCTTACCCTTCAAGGGGGAACCTCCATCATCATGTTTCTCCTGTCTTGGGAAAATATTCTTTCTTGGGAAAATATTATTTCTGCTGTCCAGTAGAGTCTTCTCTGTTGCAAAGAAATCACACTGAACTCCCACTAAGAGGTTTCTGGTCTGATTTAGCAGCCGAGGGTCCAAGCCATGGAATTTGGAAATGGAAAAGAAAAACAAAAAGGATAGGCAGAAATCTTGATGGATGAAGTTCTATTATGTGAGGAATAGCGGACACCTGTCCACTAGCAATGAGGGAGATTCTCCAACAATCTCTAGAATTGGGGCATATTTTCCCCAGCACCTGAATGGGTACAGAGACCATAAGCTTCCCGCCCCTACTTCACCATCATCAGAAAGAAAGGCTCTTACCTTCTTCTCTTCCTGCCTCTTCTCCTCTGCCTGACTCAGGAGGAAGCCTTCGGCCAGGGCCACCGCCTGGGAACTGGTCTCTGCTCCACATTCCTGCACCCAGCTGGACATCTCCGGGGGAAGGATGGCCAGGAACTGCTCCAAGATTATCAGGTCCAGGATCTGAGCCTTGGTGTGCCTTTCTGGCTTCAGCCACTGATGGCAAAGAAGGTGGAGTCCGGCACAAATCTTTCGGGGGCCTTCTGCCTGATTGTAGGAGAACTCCCTAAAGCGCTGGCACGGGGCCTCTGAGTAGACTGTGTGTTCATCCAGGGTGCACTGCCTCTTTCTTTCCCACAACCCTGCACTCCTGCTGCTCTTGATGGTACAGAGATCTCTTCCACCGTCACCCATCTGTGATTCGTCTTCCAAGGAAGCCTCCCTACGGAGTCAAAGGAGACCACACCCAAATGTTCTCCCTTCTGCTAAAGCCCTGCACATCAAAATAAGGTTATTTTAACAATTTTTCAATAATCCTTACAACATGTGTGAACGTGAAATGTGGGGGAAAGGTCACCTTCCAAAAGGAAAGGCAAGCAAATGCCAAGGGGAAATCACCGATCCAGGGAATGGCCTTTAGCTGAAACCAGCACCTTTCCTAAACCTGAGGTGCAACAGGTACAATCTCTCTCGCATCAGTTAGTCTGTCAGCATTCAAAAGCAATCCTCACCCCAAGCCTGTAGCCACACACCCTTTTCCAATCCCTTCTCTTCTGGAAGAGTCTTCCTCAAGGACTATTACTAGATTACTCATCTCCTCCTGACCCTCCTGCCATCGCAGATCCAGAGCTGGGTCAGAGAATGGGGGGTCTGAGACCCCTGGATCCCAAATGGAAGCTCTGGCCGAAGAGTTCCCAAGGGAGGCAGCCAGGGCCCGAAAGGCAAAAAAAAAAAAAAAAGAAAAAAAAAGAAAAAAGAAAAAAGGTCAGGTGAGGCTTACCTCCCACGTGAAGAACCCCTTTGACCCTCCTGGGGTTTCAGACTTCGGACCCCAGAAGCCCTCATGGCTCGTTGCAAGGGATGATGGGAATCTGAGTCCCAAACACCTGGCCGTCCAAAGTTCCCCATCTTTGGCATTTGGGTTCCAAAAATGGCTTTTGTTCACTTTGAGGGAAAGGAATCAGAAGGGCGTCTATCTGAAGCCCCCGGCATTCCTTGCTATCTTTCATATAGCCTAAAGCCGATTGCTGGCAAAGACACTTTTTTCTAAGTATGAAAAAAATACAGAAATTCCACATGGGAAAGAAAGAGAAAGTCTCAAAGCCCAATACAGAAGTGAGATGGAGCAGAAATATATGTGTATGTATATGGGGGGGGGGAGAGAAAGAGAGAGAGAGTTTGACTAGATGACTCATAGGGTTCCCTTAAAGCTCTGTAAGTCTAGGCGTATTATTATACTATTGTCATCATCCTGACATGTTGTTCAGGCAATGGGGATGTATGGCAATCTCTTCAGGTGTGTTGAACCTAAACAGTTTACTTCGAACTGGCTCGCCCCTTCCCTTTTTCTGTTCCTTGCTGCGATGTTTCATTTTTTTCAGACTTCAAATACATTTATTTTTCTCTCTGGTTTTCAGGGTTTGGGCTGCCTGATAGAAGAAAGAGGTTATCTTCCTGACTACCCCCCCTCCCTGACTCCTTGCCCTTCTGGAAGAGAACCGAAGTTCTTCCCAGG